ATATTCTTCCTCTGAATCCAAAATTGATTTCAAGGCAACAGCATTATAAGCATCCATAACTAAACTAGCATGGAGATGCCAGAATTGTATATCCTAAAATACACTGAAAATCCTAAGACATTTCTATCAAAATGAATTGCTGGGTAGTTGCCTAGTGAAACGTGCATATATACATGTCATGTGGAAGTAATACTATTAAAATAAAAGATGACACCAACATTTTTCTTCTTTTGTAGACCAAGTGGTATTTTCTTCCACTGGCTTCCAGAATCAAAATAAATTAATGCAGGAACCAAAGCTGGGCCGTAGATTGATTTGCCCATTTTAAAGCCAAAATCTCACAAAGGAAAGTGAAGGAACAGGACTAAAGGGTATAGTAGGACAGAAAAATGTAAAATGTTTAAAAACAACCATGCAAAGTAATTTAGTCAGCTGGGCTTGATACTGCCGGGACCTGTGTACTTGGGGCTGGATACAGAACAAAACATAAGCAGATGCTTATCTCTTGGCATGTGAATAGTCCCTCTGAACTCGGTAGGACTATTCAGATACATAAAGTAAAACAAGGTTAAATGCTTGGCCAGGTCAGGACCAATGTTTGGTAACTTTAGGCACTCACCGCCATAACCTTGCTTCCACCCTTCCAACTCATTTTTCACCCAGTAATGGTGTCATAGTATTATAGGAAAGTAGGGCTTGAAGATAACTCACAAGATCATCAAGTCCTGCCCCTACTCAAGGCAAGATCATCCCTGACTAAACCATCTCAGGCCAATGTCTGTCTAATCTGTTCTTGGAAATTTCTAGGGATGGAAGTTCTGCAGCTTCTCTAGGTAGCCTATTCCACTGCTTGACCAGCATCATAGTCCAAAGGTTTTTCTAGTCTCCAACCTGAATTTATCTGTTGCAGTTTGAGGACATTGCTCCTAGTCCTGTCCCCTACAGGCACAGAGAAAGGGCTGTCTCCATCTCTTTATAATTGCCCTTCAGGTGTTTGAAGACTGTTAACAGATTCCCTCCTCAGTCTTTGGGGGCTCCATCAGCTGGTAGCATTAATTACAGAATAATGCACTCTCCAATCCAAGAGTGGCATGTTTCAAGTAACCAATAAACGGTAGGGGATGATTTCACTGGGGCTAGGATTTCTTCCCAGATGATGCACTTAACTGTGCCTTATTAAGCTGTGCTGGGGGATAGGGGATCTCTAGCAGGATGTTCTCTAGGCATAGCTTCTTGGTTTAAGTGACTTGGGAAGGAGGTGGGGTGTTGTCTTTGTGTAAGGGCCTGAGCTGAGGTACCAGGAGAGAGAAACTGTAGCCTTTCAAAGACTGCAATTACTATTTTCCTTCTTTGCAGCAAAAGAAGAGTCAAGCAGACACTATCACGCAAAGGAGTATGTCTGAAGCACAGCACCTCCTGGGGCTGGTCTTGGAGCTGTTTACTTTTTACGTACAACTCCTTGCTCAAGGCAGAGGCAGAAGATTGAGGCTCAAGGCAGTGGCTATGGAACTAATGGCCAGCTGGGAGAACTCAACTGCCATGTCATAAAACTCCCAGCAAAGGTGTACATCAGGGCTGCTGTCTCTGTGGTTTAAAATGAGAACTGGAGTGCACTGAAACCATAAGGTTGTTGGCCAGATTCTTTTCTTCAGTTGTACTCATTTAAATTCAGAGTCATTCCAGAGGACTGGCAAGGAGCAGTGAGAACCGGAAACAGTAGCTAGCCCATGGGAACTAGATTTCTTTATTATGAATGGCATAGTGTCAAGTAATAGGTGTGGGAGCTTTCCTGAGTAGGAACTGCCCTACACATTAGCTAATTAGATAGATTGTGTTATCTTTCAATGTTATATTCATTTAATAATAAAATACAGTTACAAAAATCAGTAGCAAGGGAGGGATAGGTCTTAGGCTTGGTTTTGAGATATTGCGCATTAAAACATTCATGGGGCTGATTGGTAACATAGCCATCAAATGAGATCAAGTAATGCACTTGTTCAGCGTTCTATTTTGGGCCAACTCTTGTGCCAGTATGATGTTATGCAATTGTGTACTGTCTACCTGTTACGTCTGCACATACCTGTAGCAGTTGCCGGGCACGTCTACACATGCACTAATGTGCCGTGGTTACGGCACGTTAAGTTTAGTACTTGTAATGACAAGTACTAACTAAATGCACAGTAACTGGCGCTACTGTGCAGTACCACCAATGCATGCCTTTTAAGTGATGCCAGTGCACAGTAGACTAATTCTCCTACACATTAGCTCAGTAGCATGGCTTTCGCCATGACATGTTAATGTGCTGTAGAATTGGTCTATTGCACATTTGGCGTCTTGTGTAGATGCGCCCAAAGTGTAGCAAAAATGTTGCAACTTTAACTCTATACATCAGAGGTTCCCAAACGTTTTTTTATTGTGTATCCCCTTCCAGGTTTACCTGCTGCCCATTTACCCCTGCCAGAATAGGGTTTATCTTTTAACCCTTTAAATGCCTATTATTATTGTTGTTGTTGTTGTTATTAATAATAATCATCATCATCATCATCACAAGATGCTGGCTAGGTTTGGTTGTCCACTGAAGTTCATCAGTATCCTTAGGCTACTCCACGATAGGATGACCGCCACAGTCCTTTGCAATGGATTAGAGACAGACCTATTTACCATCCATACTGGTGTCTAGCAGGGTTGTGTCATTGCCCCAACCCTTTTTTCCATCTGTCTTACTGTTATTTTGATTCTCAGCTGTGACCACCTTCCTCCCAGAATTGGGGTTGAGTGTTGAATTGGACGGTCAGCTTTTCAACTTGCAGCCTCTTCACAGGAAAATGAAAGTTACCAAGACTGGGGTCATTGACCTTCAGTATGCTGACGACTCTGTTATCCTTGCACACACTGAGACCGATCTGCAGTCCACCCTTGACCTTTTCTCAGGTGCCTATCATAGCCTGGGACTCTCCCTTAAAATTGGGAAGACCAAGGTGCTCCATCAACCTGCCTCAGTCTAAGCTGCCCTGTTCCCCCCAGAAATCACCATTGGTGGAGAACCCCTGGAAAACATTGAGTATTTCCCATACCTTGGCAGTCACCTTTCCAAATCAGTCTTGATGTAGAAATTGAAAATAGGATTTGCTCTGCCAGCGTATCCTTTGGAAAGCTGCTTTGTCGCGTCTTTGCTGACCGAGATCTGCAGATGGAAACTAAGATCCTGGTCTACAATGCAGTGATTATCCCCATGAGACATGGGTGACATATCGAAGCCATCTTAAGTGCCTGGAATGGTTCCATCAGTGTTGCCTCAGGAAGATCCTTTGCATTAGATGGGAAGACCACTGCACAGATCCCAGCATCCTCTTTGCAGCTAATGTAACCAACATTGTGGCAAAGATCATGAAGCACCAACTCCGCTGTGCTGGACACTGTGCGCGGATGGCTGATGTTTGTTTCCCAAAGCAAGTCCCCTTCTCTCGACTTAGTCATGGTAAGAGGACCCACAGAGGTCAGAGGAAGCACTACAAGGGCACCCTGAAAGCATTCCTTAAGAAGGGGGGCATCAACCCTACAAATTGGAAGTCCTGGTTGGTAACAGATCTCAGTGGTGCTGCACCACGTCAAGCTACAGCCCACTTCAAAGAGAACTGTCTTGCTCAGGAATCTAAGAAACAGCAGAGGAGGAAGGAAAGCATACAACATCCTGGCCAACAGTTGGGCCTCCCCCTTTTCTCCCCGCCTCCCTTCCCCCCGGCACCACTTGTCATATCTGTAGAAAAACTTGCAGAGCATGGAATGGACTCCTCAGCCACCTTAAAACTCACCAGTAATCCCCACTCTGGCAGATATCATCCTCGTATTGAGGAATAGCCAGTTTTTATTATAATGAAAATTAAATCTGCCATTACGCAGTTTCTCCCGCATACCCCCATAGATGTCTTGCGTACCCCCAGGGGGTATGTGTACTGCAGTTTGGGAACCTCTGCTGTACGTAGGTCACAGCATAACAGCTGAAGCTTGCATCCAAACCAAAATTCCCACTTTGTCCATAGCCAGAGGCTGCATTTTAAAGTACTTTGTGAACATAAAGGAATTTAGGAAGGTAAGTTTCAATTTACGAGAGCTTCAAAAGAGATCTCTTGATCAAAAAAGGAGCAAGAACCTTTGTGGAACTTTGGGAATGTCAGAAACTGCAGTGTAGGATCCATGGCAGGCAATGTGCAATAGACTGGGCATACGGTTGTTTTGTGTTGTACTGCATTTGGTTTTGGTAACCACCATTCAGGTGCTAAGGTCATACGTTAGAAGTCTAAAAATAAACTAGTTAGTATTTGCATTGTACTGTAAAGATGCAAACTGTTATATACATGTCCTGCCTCTCTTCAACCAGGTTTTACTTCTGAAATCACTGGGCCAGTTAATGTGAATAAAGGATGGTAGGATCATGTGCCTTATTCACTGATTCTCAAATGTCTTACTTGCTGAAGCTTTCTTTTCCACACTTTGCTTTAGGAATGGGAGGAGGCCAGGCTTGTCACAAGTCCCCAGTTAAGATCTCCTGCTATGTTGCTAAATTTTAGAACTGATTGAGAACTTTATCATCAAAATGCTTTTGTTGGAAAATGCTGGCTTGTCATAACTGAAACGTTTTGCAGGCATATGCTTGATTCAATGAAACTTCCAGTGACAAGACTTTATAAGACCTGAAATGGAAGTTATATGGGGAAGAGAGGGTGAGGGAAAAAAAGAATAACCAACTCCAAAATAACCAATAGCTTGGTGGTCATGACAGAGTTTGATATCCTGGGCAGGCACACATTTATGGGATGTTCTGAGGTTTGGGTCTCTTTCTCTTTTTGTCAACACTTTCGAAGGTCTCATCCCACTGTGAGTGAGGAAATAAATTCAGAAATCTCAACAATCTTTTCAAGATGGGAAATATTTTTTTTGCCCAGCTCTTCTAAATGCTTAAACCTTTTACTTTAAACACCTGTTTTCTCTCCCTGCTGCAGGTTGCACCTGTAATTAAAGAGAGAATGATGAAGAAGGGCAGCATGATGCTGGGGTACCAGCCGCACCTTGGCAAAGTCAACTTCTTTCGCCAAGTAGTGATCAGTCCCCAGGTGAGACGTGAGGACATGGATTTCCTGCTAGATGAGATTGATTTGCTTGGCAGAGACTTGTAGCTGTAATTCAACAGCACGAGGCACAGCATACATGCATGATGTTTACAGCAGTGAAATGTTTGTATGTACTGATACTATCTTGCAATGGGTAGGTAAAAGTTCAATAATGTAGCTTATAACTGAAATTTTAATAGTGATGTTAAGGATTTTTGCAGGTAGAGATTGTATTTGCTGACCTGGGCTCTGTGGTAGTCATAGCTGTACATAGCTGCTTACAACATTTGCAGCAATGACACCATTGCTGCTGTTCTGAGAACTGACACTTTCAAGAAGTGACATTTCTGAGAATGACATCGGAAGTCCTAATGGAGCTGGTATTGGGAAGATACCCAGAGATATACCAGTAGCCAATTTGGCCCATGCTAAATGGACATGACTACACTGAAGTTAATGCTGGAGGGTGAATTTAGCTCAGTGAGTATTAATGTAAAAGTACATTTCTAGTATCTTACTATTTTAGGGTTATGTCATGCATTTAAGGATAGAGAGGCCCAGTTGGCAATTGAACCACTAAGGCCCAAAGGAAGGGAGTTTCTTTAGGAGATTCTCAAGATCCCTAAGCAGAAGAACTGCCAGGCACAGAATGGATTTGCCAACTTTGCTCACCTATAAACCCATCACAGCTGTAGCTGAGCTGAGAATCTTTGAATGGCTATGTTATCACTGCTTAATTTGTCAAAAGGAAATACCTCTAGCTTCTGAATGACTGTTTGTATTTTCTTTAAATGTAAGGATTTCTTTAGCAACTTTAGATGCACTTTAAAATTACATAAAAAGAAATTATATGATGTATTTATCTTAAAGGGTGTGTTTTTTATGCAGGGTGGCTCTTTATTAAGAATTGTTGTAAGAAAGCAACAGATTTGTCATAGTCCATTCTGATTTTCCTAAATATTCAAAAATTGGTAGATCTCAAATGATCAGTGTAGAATTCTCTTCTGGCAATAAGCTTATATTGCTCAAGTGAAAATTTGTCCATAATGTTAAAACATGAACCTTGTGAGTGGTTTGGGTCAACCTGAAATATCAAGCTAGTGTCCAACCTGTTTATTTATTGCTAATAATTACAATGTATTTTGACAAATGATTTTGTGAGCAAGCTAGTTTGATTTTTTTTCAGTCTATAAATGATTCTTTTTATAAAAATCACACAAAAAGATAGAAAACGTAAATGTATTTCTATGTGGGACTTCTAACAGTAGACTTAAGGAACTAGCCACATTTTTCACCTAGCTAGAGCATTTGATCTTTTTTTTGTTTGTTTGTACTATAATCTGTCTTTGGGGTAGTACTGACCAATGTGATCTTTTCTATTATAACGTATCTGTTTTTGCTAAACGTTGTCTTTAAGTGCAGTGCTTTCATGTTTTCATTTCATATGCCATGGTAGCATCCAGCTTTGTACAACATTCCCACTTCTAGTCTCCAAAAATTCCAATATGGAGAGGTTAGATGAGTGATGCATCATGCTGTCAGAACAGTAGAGGGGAACAAGGGCCACTTTGTGAAGCTTGATAGAGTTCTGTAGAGCATACCGTGAAGGGATACTTTTTAGTCATCCTATCCTGCCATGGGGTTATAAGCAGACCTTACAATGGACATTAATAGGGACTTGTGTATAAAAATTACTGGAACAACTTGACCCCTTATTTTGGCCCTGTAATTCTTATAGGATCATTTAATCAGCTATTACCTATGACTTCTGGATGTACCATCCATCATGAAAACATAATTTAAAGCCCTGATCCAGCAAGGCATTTGTGGTTCAGGACCCTAATGTGTATACAGATGGGTAACCTTTGTTGGTTGGAGTGCAGACTAAAAGGCACTGACCTACTAGAATTTGCATTGCTATCACTTCTTAAGATGGATAAATATAGAGTTAACCATTCTCTGTTTAATTTTTGGCTTTGAAAGGAAAAAAAGAAAACAGCATATGGATTTTCTGATTCGGGTCCAGATTCTCAATTGGTATAAACCAGAATATCTTTATTTATTAGAATAAAACTATGGTATCCCAGACCAGCTGAGAATGTGGTTGTCTGTATTTAGCATACCTAAAATTGGTGAAAAATGTCATCATCTTGTTATGTTTAGTTTAACACACAATTGCTTTCCCGTTTCCAGATATTGTGCCAGACATGGTACATTTATGGTTGCCTGTCTGAAATATTATACTTTTAATTCTGTAGTAGCAGCTGTATTTTTTTAATGAAAGCCAAATTGAACTTTTTTGAATGTTTGTAGAAAATATTTCTTAGATTTACAGTTGCACTGTTTGCTTTCTTAAAAGGTGGAGGTTAACTCTACAGTATGATGTGACTAACTTATTTGATCTCTGTACTTTCTCTTACTAAAAGCTCCTTGTAACATCTAAGGTGCGTAATGGGATTGTTCTGCTTCATGATTGTAATGACATTTTCTTGTAGTAGTTTATTTAGATCTAGTAAATGCAAAATGCCTATTTTGTAGCTGATGATTTTAATAAAAAGTGAAGTAAGTGATACTCTTTTAAATACAGGCTGTGTTTTGTCATTTGTAAATCTTAATGTATATATGTTGTCTTTAAGGAAGAGTAAGCACAAATGGTCTAGATAAAGAGAAAAAAGCAAACTGGTTGTACTGAATTAAGAATGACATGTATTCTCTCCCAGCTTCTGAATAGAGGTTATTTGAAGGCTGCAGCATCATACCCCATCCTACCCACGGTTTCTGATAAACATCTTGGAAGAGATACGAGTTTCACTCCCAATATCAAATACAGCATTTAAATTATAGAACATGGTGGTTTTATATTTTAAATATCCCAGTAAAAGTGACTGGATCACTCCGTTTCTCCTTTTCCATCCATACCACCTCTCAGAGCATTGAGCCTAATTCTCCCAGCAGTGATGCACAGATAGAGCTTGAGGCACAATGTGGCCCACTGTCTCTATATTCCCTTTTAGATTCATTCATATATATGGATTTTGTAAATTGGACTTATAGATTCATAGATGTTAGGGTCAGAAGAGACCTCAATAGATCATCGAGTCCGACCCCCTGCATAAGCAGGAAAG